AATCTAAAGAACTTAATAAACTGATGAACAGAATAGATTCAATGACATGGAAGCATAGATGAGACTGATGAATGTCAGAGGGATGGAGGAAGGCGGGTGGGTGGAGGGGGAGAGAGTAACCAAAGAATTTATGTGCATATATACACAACCCAAGGACATGGACAATGGTGGGGAGAGGGACTGGGGAGGGGGAAGGAATGGGGTGGAATGGGTCATTGGGGAGAAAAAGGGACATCTGTAATATTTTAAACAATAATAAAACTTAAAAAATAAAAAAAATTAAAAAATCTGAGCAAGCCTGTCTTTTGCTTAAAACAATCAGTACAACAAGTCTATTGTAAGAATATGGGAGTGAGCTGATGAAACTTATCTAGCACATCATGGAATCAGTAATCAATCTCAATAATTACCAGCATTTGGTATATATCTGATTTTAAAAATCTGTGAGATTTACTGTCATCTATAACACTTGGCAAAGTTTTCTAATTTTAGCCTCTCTGGAGTCCTGATTAATACAAAATCATTATATTGCATTGTGTTATCCATTTTTATGTTCCTCCCAAACACTCATTCATTTCCTGACTTGGTGGAAATGTCCAGGAAGCCACATGATCAAAGGATCATTCATCAAGAAATCAGCATTCAGTGGAATCAAAGTAATCTCCTTAAACGTATTTTTATAGTCAAGATATTCTTCATTAATAAAAAAACAAATTCATATTAAACCACATGACAAAATAATCTGCAAAACTCTACAGCTCTAGTTAAGTATATGCATGACAGTCTCCATGACCATATATGACGGCAAATGTTTCCTGTATTTCCCTCAGCTTACCTGGGGTCTGCACCCCTGACGAGGAGGAGATTTGGGTTTAGGCTGGCTTTTACTAATCTCTTTTGTAGAGCAATTCTCCCCTTTGGGTTCACCTGGATTAATTTCCTTTATAAACCGATGGGCAACATCCAATACATTGGATAATATTTGAGATTTTGCCTATGAAAAAGAAACAAAATATAACTAAAAAGCCAAGTATAAGCCTAAGTAAGTTAGATACATCAAATCATATTTTCATTATTCTGTAACTACTAAATTCAATGTATTTTACTTAATATTTAAACATATCTATTGGCATTTATATCAACCAATATAATAGTGACAGCTGCCAATGTTATGAAGGGCTAGTTTGGTTTGGGCTTATACTATCCTAAGTATCTTAAAAACATGTTATTTAATCCTGAAGTCAACTCTAAAGCATACCTATTTTTATCTCTGTTTCAGGGATAAAGAAACCAAAGCTCTGAGTGTTTAACTAACTTGCCCTTGGTCACATGGTGAGTGGGTGGCAGGGCTGGGAAGTGACCCCAGGTATATACAATTCTAATGACTCACAGCCTTTCCACTAGGCCAACCCCAAATAAATGGATGTGTTATTTTATGCACACCAAGGCTAAAGAACTAAATATAGCTACTCTAATGGGAGCCTGAATAAGCGGTAATAAGTATTCCTCAGTGATAAAACACCTTTAGAAAATATTAACTATTTAAAAGTGTAGATCAGGAAGTGGGTCTGCCTGTCCTTGCCTGGGGCCTTCCAAGTCTCTCCTCAGGCCGTGCCTTTGCTCATGAGTGTTGGTTTCCAGGAAGACTCTCCATCCTGGACTATCTTCTTTGCCTGGCAGGCTTCTTCTCCTTCTGGATTTGTCCCAAGTTACTCCCACTTCTGGGAACCCTTCCTGGCCTTCCTTCCCCCGCTGTGTGAGGTGCCCATTCTCTGTACCCTGCGTAGATCTCTACCAACGCCCCCCCAATATTGATTTTACATCATCTTTTGGTATCCATCCCATGATACCATATAAGCTCACAGAATAAAAACAGGTCTACTTAAATCTCTGTATGGCTACCACCATGCCTGGAAAACAACCCATGGTAAAAATAAAGTGTGGGGGGAGAGAGCAAGGGGACTCCAGAATTAAAATAAATGATAGAGAAAAGTAATTCAGCAAACCTTTCCCCATGTCTTTTTCAGAGTGGCTGAAAAGGAACAAACAGGCAAACCTGGGGCAGGCTCTGTTCTCTGAGGAGTCTCCTGTCCGAACCACCTGGTCTGCCCTAGGACACAGCAGGTCTGAGCCTGAACCAAACACACTCCAGGGGGAAGATGCAGGCCTTTCAGAGGCTCTCTGAGAGCCTGGCATTAGGAACAGAAGCAATAGGTCTTTCTTCTTAGCAAATGTCCTCAAGACAGAGGAAAACTCCAGTGGGGATCAGAAATAAGTATGTACTCTCCCATGGGAATATTCCATTTTTAAATTTTCACCTAGCTATCTATTTAAATAGCTAAGATTACATGGAAACTTTCCAGTATGAACTTTTGAAAATTTGTTAAGATTCAGTCTGATTCTGGAATAAATCAGTGAACATCAAATTAACTGGTGTTATTCCACACGGAACTAGTAAATTATATATGAAAAATGACCTTTGCGCAAAAATTGCTATGCATGTACAAATCGACAGTATCTGCTCCAAATTTCACAATGATCATTAGAAATCCCATGGAGACCTGTGCAGCCCATTTTAAAAAAGAAATTCAATTCATAATTATAGGACAATATTATTGTGCATATTCATTATTCTATGCATTAGATCTCTATGGCTTATTTACTGCTGCTGCACTTATACGGCTGAACTATACACTTACAAATGCTTAAGATGAAAACATTTATGCTGTTTTTTACACAATTTTTAAACAATGAGCAGAGAAATGATGTGTGCACTTTATTGTTTATATTAAAGCTAAATACAGTTGATTTAACAAGAAAAAAGGAAAGGAAGAAAAGAAAAAAGGAAAAAATTCAAGCCAATTGTAATAATGCTTTAATCTTTCTAGAAATACCCGTATTTTAGCAAATATTTGTAAACATAATAATCCAATCTGAGCCTGATTTTAAATTTCCTGGAATAAAGGTCTGTTGATTTCAAAAGTGGTTAAAATACCTAGTTTTCATTTTACCGAATATCAAAATAAAAAACAATAGTATTAATTCTATATAATTTATCACAATAAAGTTACCATTCAAATACATATGTTTATTTAAATAACACAAAAGAAGGATTATTCCTGTCCTAACATGAACCTTGCTATCAATGTTACAATAATTTTTATAACATTTTTAGGTAGCATTTTTAAAGGATATGATCCAGAAATAGGAGCATGAACAGACTGAGGAATCTCAGAGGGAAGGTGGGAGTGGGGTGGGGAGAGATTAACGAAAGAATTTATATACATATTTGCATAACCATGGACAAGACAATAGTGTGGTGAAGGCCTGGGGGAGGGGCTGTCAATGGGAACAAAAGGGGGCATCTGTAATACTTTCAACAATAAAGATAAATTAAACATAAAAATGAAATGGCCAAAAAATTATTTTATTCTTACATTAAATTTACTACTAAAAATATGGTAAACATCATGGATAACTGATAAAACGAAATGCTTAAAGTTCTGTTCATTCAGGATAAATAAAATGGCAATAAATGGGAATTTTCTTTCCCAGAAAACCATATATTTAAATATTAATTTCCTAGGTTTTAAAAGTGTATATGAATACTTTATTTTTCTTGTTCTTAAAATAATCACTCCAGGAAAGGGAAGAGATATTCTGACCCCCATTACTCAGAGAAGGAAACCCAAGCTCCTAAAGCTCAGGTCAAAGCCAGTGGGTACAAAATGTCAGGGCTCGATTTAGAACCAAGACTCTCCTTCTTTTAGTCTAATCTTTTTCCCTCCTGAATTATGTTAACACAGACAACGTGCTTCAGTTGTGATTTCTTGAAACTAAGATAATTAATTCTTTTGTTTTTAATTTATTTCGTTTGTTTATTTTCAGGTTTGACCAAAGACTAGCAAATTGAAAGGCGGAACAAATTCTCATTTTGCTCACCTTCTCTGCCACCTACATATTTGGGGAGGGTTGTGGGGCAACACAAACTTTGAAAAATGTAAAACTTTTGAACAAAGTTAAAAGTATTCTATAAGAGTAAGATTACAGAACAAACTTAAACCATCTAGTCCTTAACTAAGAGGTGTATAATTTAACAGAATCAATAAGATTAGAAATGTACCACAGTGCTATAACATGCTATTTCACAATACTTAAAAGTTCCTAGATATGTGAAAAATATATCACACGTTAATAATTTTCAGCTTCCCAAACTCATTCCCAATCTCCCATACTCGTTCCAGAGAAGAGCTGGCAACCAATTGCTAGATACTCAAAATCTCCTCACCTAGGTGGGCTCTCCCCTGGAACCCGATGAGCTCTGTGACAGTTTGCTGAATGTGAGAAACAGTAATGAGTTTCCCTTCCAGTGACAAGGTGGTAAGGAACGAATGTGCCTTCTCCACACTTTTTACTGTTTGGTGTATGGTGACCTTGGAAGGAACATATGGAATATGGTGAATGTTACAGTAAAAGTCATCAAATCATTGCTTAAGAGGGAAGATGTCTCAGGGACACCCATGTTGAACTCTTAGGTGAGTAAAAAGTAAAATTTTACTGTTTTAAGATACTGAGATTTGGGTGTCCTTTTGCTGTAGCAAGCATATTTGGAAACTACCTCTAACTGGGTATTGTTTGAGCTAGCAAAAAAAAAAAAAAGTTTTAAAAATGTGTTTTGCCCAGGCCAGTTTGGCTTAGTGGTTGGAGCATCATCAGCCCATAGACTAAAGGGTCCTGGGTTCGACTCCAGCCAAGGACCTGTACCTTGGTTGCAGGCTCGATCCCTGGCCCCAGTCAGGGTGCCTGCAGGAGGCAACCAATCGATGTGTGTCTCTCTCTCTCCCTCCCTTCCACTCTCTCTGAAAAGCAATGGAAAAAATATCCTCGGGTGAGAATTAAAAAAAAAAAAGTGTTTCCCATTAATAACATACATAAATACATTATTTCCATGTCTCACCAAAGTTTTCCTCTCTACTTGGAAAGGCAAGTGTTCCTATTATAATTCTATTTATCATTTCAGGCCCAGATCAAATGTTATCCAGTTCCAATGTATATCCAATGGCATTATAAAAAGCAGTTTAAAAGGGCAAGTTGTTTAATCTCTCTGAAACAAAGTTTTCTCCCTCAACTAACTGCAGCAAAATTGACATATCTTCTGTGTGCTCTTATAAATCCTTGCTTACATCAATACTAGAGCTTTGCTGCTCAATGTGTGATCCATAAATCAGCAGCATCTCCATCACCTGGAAACTTTCTAAAAATACGAAATATCAGGTCGCACTCAGCCTCACTGAATCAGAATCTGCAGTTTAACAGGTAACTTGCATGCACATTCAGTTTTGAGCATCACTGTGTCAAAACACTTATCAGTCAGTTGTGTTACAATTGGTTGAATATAGCCGTCTTCCCTTTTGTGATTATTAATTCCTTGAGAGAGAGAACCATGTCTTATTCTGCCTTACATACAATGTTTCACATCACCTTCTTTTAATGCTCCTCCCGGCAGCCCTGTCTGTCACACTTTGCAACTAGAACATTGCTTAACGCTGGTTAACAAGTTGAGAAATGCTGGTTGAATCAAATTTAACTGATTTACTTTGCTAAAAATGACTAAAAATTCCATTTGAATATTCGTTCCTTTTACCCGAGCTAAGTCAGTGTCAACAAAGATAAAATAAATGGCACTATTGATAATAGCACAAAAGGGCAAATCATGTACCTCACTAAGCATAAGTGTTTGCACCTGTAAAATGAAGACAATCGCTTCCTGGCAAAGCTGCTGCTGTGAAGACTATTCAATCTGACTGAAAGGCACCTAGTAGAGGGATAACATAATGCTGTGCATTCAAATAACTGCTACCATTTTATTTAGATCACAATACACTACTCTGTAGAAAAATTGTTCAAATATCCAGAAAATAGAATTTCTATCAAATTTAGTAGACAGAAGTGGGACTTCAGACTACGGTATAATACAGAGGTCAGGAAATAATT